TGCTTAAATTCATGAAGTAATGTTTGAATCTGAATGTTGATTCAAAAAGACTGAGTTGCTGGGACATTTATAATATTTAACTTAATAGGCAACCATACCATTAGGGAAAACTGTTATCAGCTGAAAGAAATAAATTATTTGCTCTAAAAACCTTGGTAAAAACTCATCACCAGTCTGTGAAAAAATAATAATACTCTAAATGCCATGCATGCTGTCAAAACAAATCTGAAATGGTCCAATAGAGCAAGATGTTGTAATAACATTCTAATAATTAGAAAAATTCCCACTTATTGCTGTAAATTAGATTACAAGGAAAAGGTTTATTTTAAAACTCTTTGTACCATTTTATTTGCTATAACAAATTCTAACAAGTAAAAAATATAACTACATTTGTTTGAAAAATCACTAGAAAGAATAGTTCTGTTTTAAATAGAAAAAAAATCAGAGTCTCTCTTTAGGAAGGAATAACAATTATCTAATTTAATTTGGACACGGGCAATCCAACATTAGTGCCTTAGGCCCAGATTTGTTTGTGCATGGAACATTTTGCACTCAAGTACAGGGTCAAACTCTAAATAAAGAAACATTTATTTGTGGCGTATCCCCTCCCAATCTGCTCTGGAGATTGGGTGAGGCTGCCAGCATAGGGTTGCAATAAAAAGATACATCTCACTTTGCTGCCATCTCATGGTCATCCAGATGTTTGCTACAAAATCTACAGTCACAGGTTCTCCTGCTTGAGCAGGGGGCTGAACTAGAAGACCTCCATGGTCCCTTCCAGCTCTACTCTACTCTACTCTACTCTACTCTATTTACCCTAAGATTGGGAGACTCTAGCGAGGAGGCTGCAGATGGGGGGAGAGGGCAGGGAATTCCTATTGTACCTGCAGACATGATTCAGATTTTTTTTGTAACTAAAATGGCTGGTTAATGACTGAATAATAGGACTACAGGTAGTCCTCGAATTACAACAGTTCATTTAGTGACCACTCAAAGTTATAATCTTCTTCTTCTTCTTCTTGTGCCATATCTGTTATCGGACGTTGGCAATCCTGTTTTTATCAGCAGTCACACGAAAAAGTGCTGCTCAGTTTTGTCCAAACCAATCCCTTAGATTTTGAAGCCACAATGTTCTTCTTCTGCCTGGACCTCGTTTGCCTTCAATCTTTCCCTGGAGGATTAAATGGAGTGTGCCGTATTTTTCTGGGTGTTGCATCTCATGTCCGAAATATTCTTTCATTTTTTAATTGTTTTGATGATTTCCCTTGGCTTTCCCAGGTGGCTTAAAGTTATAATGGCACTGAAAAATATGACTTATGACCGTGTTTCACAGTTACGATCTTTGCAGCATCCCCATGGTCATGTGATCAAAATTCAGATGCTTAGCAACTGACTCATATTTATGATGGTTGCAGTATCCCAGAGTCAGGTGATCCCCTTTTGCGACCTTCTGTGTAGCAAAGTCCATGGGGAAGCCAGATTCACTTAACAACTGGATGACTAACTTCTCCCCTGCAGTGATTCACTTAACAACTGTGGCAAGAAAAGTCATAAAATGGGGCAAAACTCACTTAACAAATGTCTCACTTAACAACAGAAATGTTGGGCTCAATTGTGGTCATAAGTTGAGGACTACCTGTATTATAGATTCCTATAGATTTCAAACATGAACTGAGCAGTTTAGTTACTAAAAACAGACCTCTCAACAGAGAAAGAAAATCATACTGGCTTCCCCAAATTCAAAAAGAGTCCCAAAGGAGTATCAAAAAGGAGGCAGCCTTTGGCACTGCCCTTTACCACTGCTCCAACGGTGTTTCCAGGATCACACCTGATAAACTACCAGAATAAATTCTGCACAAAGACACAAAAGGGACTTGCCAGCAGGCAAAGCTGCATCTAATTGGAAAGTGGCTTTTATTCAGGCCTGTAACCTTTTTCAAATAATAATAATAATAATCTCCCCAGTATTCCACTACCGTCATCACTTTTGTCCTGACAAATGGGCAATTTCATCCTGAATTGACAAATTCAGTCCATATTAGTTACTAAGTGCTCCTGGGCATGTTCTCTCTACATTTTAACAAGCAATTTAAAGCCAAAAATAAGGGCAAGCCACTTGTCTTGCAGTCTATGAGCCAATAAAGCCTGAATAGCAATGGCCTAATTTCCAGGAAAAATAAAATACTGCATTAGAGAACATATGTTACAGCAAAACACCAGGTAACACAATGCATGCAGATATCCCAGCTTCCCATTGATTAATAAATTTACATAGGCTTCCAGTAATCATTAACAGCGAGGGGCTCAATTTAAGATTTATGCCCGTCCTACTCGTGCTAGCAAGGAACGGCCTACTTCGGATCCCATGAGTCAAAACAACTCCGTCTGTCGGTATCTAGAAGAAGAATCTCCTCTATTGCAGCACCCGCTCTTTGGAGCAGTACTTCCAAGGCAGGGGTCTATCTATCTATTTACACCCGATTCCTTTACAAATTAGAGATCTTGCAAGCTTCTCATGCTTTGTTACAGATTATCTTTGCATTGAACTTCACGTGATCTGGGATCCATCTGGAAATCCCAGGAGTTAACAATCCCAGGAGTTAACAATCCCAAGGTATCAGACTGGGGAAATTTGCTTTCATTCAAACACTCTTTTCTCAGACTCAGCCCTCCATCAAAAGAACTGCAGATGACGATACTGACTTACGGAAAGACCGTGTTAAACTTTAATTTATAGGTAGTCCTCAATTAACGGCTGCTCTGTTAGGATGGCACCGAAAAGGTAGGTTTACGAGTGGTTCTTCTATACAGAAGTTGTACCTGTACCTGTACAGTCACATGATTGCAGTTCAGGCACTTGACAACCAGCGCACATATATGTTGGTTGCTCCTATAATTACATGATTGCCTTTTGTGGCTTCCAGCACGCAAAGTTAAAGGGGAAGTTAGCCGGAAATCACAAGTTGTAGCCACATGACGTTGACCTTAGTGACCATGGGTAATTTGCTTAATGACCACAGCAGAGCTAACATCATAAGTTGGGGTGTGGTCATGTGATTTTTATTTAATGACCCCATCACTTTGCGATGGAATTGCCAGTCGCAATTGCAAGCGTTAATTGAAGACTACCTGTATAGATGAAAGCGTTTACGCCCTTGAAATGAATCAGAATAAGTATCTGAGTTTTGAATCCCACCCACCAGTTAGAACAGCGGACCCCAACCTTTTGGGCACCAGAGACCGGTTCCGTGGAGAGAGGTTTTTCCACGGACCGGAGGGGGCGTGGTTTTGCATGCTGCCTGCATCCCCGCGAATGGGGCTTCGCTTGTTTGCGTGGCCCAGTTGCTCACATGCCGCGGCCCGGTGCCAGTCCACAGACCGGGGGTTGGGGATCCCTGAGTTAGAACACGTATGGGAGAGGAAACCAGAGCTCAGGGGCCCAAAGTACAATTTGTAGAAGGTTTCTGATTTTTCCAGTGAAATACCTCACGCAGGCAACGTCTCAGAGGGATCTCTGCCAGAGAGCAGCTGCGATTCAAGTTGATGGCTGGTGTGATAAATTGCAAGGCTCGGTGATAGAGGCAACTTCCTAAATTCACATGAAAATTCAAACAGTGCTGTTCATGTCATGTCAGAGAATTCTCTAGCATGGTTTTTGCCTTGTTATCCCACAGGTCTTGTAGAGGTGAGGCTAGAGGGGTATGAGAAAAGCAAGCACCATAAGCCCGAATAAATAGCTCATCTCTGTTCTTCTCCCACTGCTACATCCCAATGGTTACCTAAAGGAAGCAATTTTTCACATATCAACTGTAATCAGATCAAACACTGGAGCTTAACGGCAAGCTTCACAGTTTAGCATGTTTCCTTGAAAACCAACCTTAGGGGAAATACATTTAGGAGATTTTCTTTTTTCAGAAATCCATAAAGCTTCCATTTCTTCACTCTGCCAAACATGTATGGTGGAGTTTCTTCCCAATCCACTAGCATTATTTCTGATGCCAATTTAGTTTTTCTCTTGCTAAAAAGCTCCTGGCAAGAACTTGAAGCATCAATTCCAATCCTTTTTTGCAGCTTATTTTTAGAAAACCAGTCCCTATCATTTTACTGATTCTTCGTAGTGAGCTTAATGAGCTAAGTCACGCAATGCCAATATCACAAGAGTTACTTTGTGCGGTTCTAATTTAAAAATACTGCTTTGTGGGTCTTTCCTCACCTTTTAAAGGCCACATGAAATCTTTATGCTAGCTAATATCAGGGCTGGCTTTGGTATGAGCTTTTGTTTCACACATCTTTATGTCTCTCATAAAAAAGGGAGTTTTCTCTTTCGTTCCTCTAAATACTGCTAGGTCATGTATTCAAATTATGTGAAGTCCTTAACTGTATCTTTTATATCAACCACTAGAAGGCACTATGGGACCAATTCCATCCTATTTAGGACACATCAGACAGGTAGCCAGGTGTTATTCTTTGCAGCTCAAACCATTCTGGCTACCTACAATTGATCAATTAGTAAGAGCCATGGTGGTGCAGTGGTTAGAATGCAGTATTGCAGGCTAATTCTGCTCTCACTGCCAGGAGTTCAATCCTGACCGGCTCAAGATTGACTCAGCCTTCTATCCTTCCGAGGTCGGTAAAAGAGGACCCAGATTGTTGGGGACAATATGCTGACTCTGTAAACCGCTTAGAGAGAGGGCTGTAAAGCACTATGAAGCGGTATTTAAGTCTGAGTGCTATTGCCACTGCTATCAGTCCCAGTAGGACAAAAACAGTTCCATAGTGCCTTTGGTAGTCAACGAAAATGAAACCAGCACACCCTATGTAAGCTGTATAGAAATAGAGAAAGTCCGTCCTGCCACTAGGAAGGGGAAAGTGACGTGAAACCTTGTACAAGGGGGCACGATCTATTGTGTGCCATCTAAAGCGCTCTACCCTGAGAGCTTGAGAGAAGGTGGAGTGTATACACCCTTCTGATAGACTGGTTATTTCTTGTTATTTCCCAGGCTTGAATCCCAAATGACAGCTGACATTCAAACCATCTTACAGCTGTTGCAGAGACAGTCAGCCCTCATCCCACCTGCTTATAGCATGGTGATGGCAAGTGCAGATTATCAGAAACCAGCTGTCCGGCTACTGCGACGTCTTCATCCCATCGCATCAATTAAAACAGACCGAAGCTTCAGTCCTTCCCAGGTAAGGCATTTCTGAAGGGGCAGGTTTACATAATTTACAGCCTTTTGGGGGAAACAAAACGTCCTTCATACAGATCCGTATGAGAAAAGCAGCACAAGTGGATTAGACCAGAGGCCTCTGTAAGTTGAGATGCTGTAGGAGAGGATCAGGCTGAGCCCGTGGGAGGGGTCAAACGTGTCATCCATCATGTGGTCCCTTTGCGTCCACAAGAGATCTAAGTCCAGCCCACCTTGAATTCCTTTCATTCTTAATTCCCGCTAATTTCCCCTGACTGTTACTAGTTCAGATTCTTGTAGAGATCTTAAGTTTACAATAAATCTTTATACACATTTGAACTGCCCGGATCCCTTGATTTTCCTGATGCTTGACAGGAGCCTGTTTTTCCTGGATTGGCAAATTCCTCCAGGAGGTAGACAAGCTGGACTTGAAGGCAAGAGTCATGACTTGGTTGTAAAAGAAATAGTACCTGCAAAATAAAGGCTACTTTGATAAGCAGACATCAGCAGCCTTTTTATCCAGGCAGTTGTTTGAATCCATGTTCTGGGACCATTGAATGCCGGACTCCATGTGGCCTCATTCCTGTCCCTCTGCTCACCTGCACCTGGTCTGGGAGAAGGTGGTCTTCCTTCAACTACAAAGGTGGCAACTGAAGGTTTCAAGGCAGTGGTGGGATTCAAACATGTGAACAACCAGTTCTCTGTGTGGATGCCACTTCCGGAAGTCCATTCTGGGCCTGGGCAACAAAAAAATTAGCTACCGGTTCTGCTGAAGTGGTGAGAACCGGCTGGATCCCACCACTGTCTCCAGGTCATCTGCATTCTAAAAGCTGCAGAAGGGAAGAAGTCCACCTAAACGTCTTAGGTGTTAGAGGTAGTCCTTGACTTACAGCAGTTCACTCAGTGACTCTTCAAAGTTACAACATCACTGAAAAAAGTGACTTATGACCGTTCTTCACACTTACGACCATTGCAGCGTCCCCCATGACCAAAATTCAGACGCTTGGCAATTGACTCGTATTTATGACGGTTTCAGTGGCCCAGGGTCACGTGATCCCCTTTTGCGATCTTCTGACAAAGTCAGTGGAGAAGTCAGATTTACTTAACAACCGTGTTACTAACTTAACCTCTGCAGCGATTCACTTACTATCTGTGGCAAGAAAGGTCATAAAACGGGGCAAAATTCACTTTAAAAATGTCTCGCTTAGCAAATGTTGGGCTCAACTCTGGTTGTAAGTGGAGGACTACCCATGTTTGGATTGCGCTGATGTGCATCCGTTACTCAGAAACACAGCGGATTGCTTAATACGCGAAGCACCTTTATTAAGCTCTGCATCTGATTTCAGTACTCCTGATTTTTTAAATAAATTCTCCAGTAGTGTAAACTTGTAAAAAAAAAGAAGTGTTTTTTATGGCAATACACGCCACAGAGCCCTCTTTTTGTTGTGTTTTCTCAGGGTCCCAAATTCTTGGATCTTGAAAAATTGAAACAGAAATCCAAAGAATCCCTCTCAAGCGGAGAGCATCTTCACCTGGCCTCAGAAGATAACCTGGTTTCCCTTTTGGAGCAGGAGCGCAACCTCTCTTTAGAGCCAACCCCGTCACTCCGTAAGACCTACCTCCACCCAAATAGGCACCCATCCTTGCCCGATTCTCCCCTAAGCACGACAGGAATGGTGGGTCTCCATAGGCATGTCTCTGATCCTGGTCTTCCTGGGAAATGACCCTTTTGCATTCTTACATCACCTAAAATGTAAGTGCTTTTAATGTCTGGGGGTTTTGTCTTTTTTCTTTTCTTTTTTTCTTCCTTTTTTTTCTATCAAAATCTCAATACTTGACTCAGGGGCTACAAGGATATACCATTATATGCAAAAGTACTGTATATTTTCCTATCTTTGAAGCTTGTAAGGAAAGTTGATCAGTAACCATGTAAATATATAAATATATACATATATACATATATAAACAAACAAACAAACGGTATGTTGCAAATATAAAACTGCCAGCATTCTAGAGGCACCTTCTATTTTTTAATTTTTTAAAAAGCACCTGCATGCTTGGAAATGATAATGGTTCTGTTGCATGGAGGTTCCTGTTTACTGTTTTCAATTAAAACCTATTTTATTGCGGACATGCCTTCAAAAAGATGATAATGACCCAGAAACAAAAATGACTTGCTTTTCTTGAACTACTTTACCTTCAAACATTTTTTTTTCTTTTAGTTTATCTTTTTTTTGGAAAACAATACAATTATCCTTCTAGTATTGAACATTTTGCAGTCAAAGCAACCTCCTTAAGCTTTGAACATAAGAAAAACATAGATTTTTTTACAGAAACTTTGTAGTTTGGACAACACTCATGTAAAACCCAATTAGCAAAACACAAATACATTTTGGAAAAAGGAAAACAAAACCACACCCTGTAACTCGGCTGCATAATGGAAAGCAACATTTGTGACTTCGGTTTACAATAGTTGAAGCATTTAATGTTCTAATTTATTTTTCTTTACTGAAATTTCATCATTGCTATAAGTTGCCACACTCAAAGGCAGCTAGCTGTCAAGACCCTCAAATACAAACAATGCAATAAACATAATTTCTACATAAACTAGAAAATGTTGTCTTTTTTTCAGTTGAAAGAAAACTTTTTTTTAAAAAACCCTGAGTATTAAAAATAATTTCTTTTCATTGTACTCTTTTGATATCTCTCTTTTTACCCTCTAGCCCCAAAATATGCCTCAACACAAAGAGTTGCAAGCTTGAGTGCATATTCCAATATAAGTACACTACAGAATCCTTTCGTTTCTGGCGTCTTTATTTCTTTCAGTAAGTTAACATTAAACTGAAGGGCTTGATCAATTTTCTATGGTTGCAAGGTTTATTGACTACACATCATGCATGCACAGCAGCTGGGTCATTGCAGAAATAAGAAAACCCAGATATATCTGCCATATTTTACCTGGCGTATTGAGGGGAGGCTGCATATGCGGAATTGTAAATGAATAAATCACTAGCCAGCCAGCCAGCTTTCTGGCTGTTTTGTAACAAAGGGTCCAGCAAGACAGAATGATCTGACATTGATGGTAGGAAAAACAGATTTCTGTTAAGCTTATACTTCCTTCTTCCTGGAGAGGGCTGGTATCAGAATCTAAATTAGTAACTGGAAAATTTATATCCAAAACAGATGTTTTTCCTAGACTAATCCAGAGAAGGGGGACTCTCAAACTGCACTGCTTGAGAATCAAGCAATGGAGTTACTCGGGATGGGGGAAGGGGGAGTGGACTGTAAACAATTTATGTTGGGATATGTTTAGAAGATAGATTTTGGATGGACGAATGAATGGATATATTATAAATTAGATAGATGATAAAGAGACAGAGAGCTGATAGATTAGATAGGTATAGATCAGATAGATGATGGATGGATAGACAGACCTAGACAGACAGGATAGACAGATACTGTAGAAACAGACAGAGTATAGAGTTCCCCTTCTACATTGAAAACAACCTAATTCTGAGTGTTTGGAAGGCTGTGGCTGTTTGTAGGAAAAAGAGGAAAACAAAAAAAAATGAAACAACTAAATAGCAGCGTGACTAATGAAGCAAAAATAAAAAGTTTTAAAATGAAACATTTGACTTTTATTTTCTTCAGCCGCTTTGATGTCAATAAAAAAAAGATTTCTTTCTTTCAAATTCTTTGAATTCTCCTCTATCTAGTTAAAGACAACATTTTGCTCAACTTGGGAGAGTTGAAAAGATTTACTGTGCAATGGAAATGTCACCATAAAGCGATGACATTCTCCACGCTGTTCTTCTGTGGTTACTTAGACACATACCAATGTGCCACATCATCTGATGATGAGGCCTGAGATTTATGAAAGATTGCAACAGAAAGCTAACATCATAGTTCACAGAATTGCTCTCAATTTCACAGATGGGTGATGCTTTTATAACCACAAAAAAATTGCCCATCAAAGCTGGTTGTACACATTCCTCTGGAATAAAACCCCAAATCACTTTAGATTTTCAAAGGAGCCTGATGAGTAGGTCTTTTGTTTACACAGTTTAAAAGTAAGTTTATCTGAAAATTGTGCTCTGAAACATTTAAATCTAAACATAAAAACGTATCATTTCACTTGCCTCTCTCTTTCAAACAGGCTATCACAGTGATGGCGAACCTTTTAGAGACTGAGTGCCCAAACTGCAACCCCAAACCCACTTATGCATTGTCAAGTGCCGGGTGGGCGTGGCCCACTGGGTGGGTGTGGCTGCGGTGGTAACAGCAGACTGGGTGGGATTAAAAAGTTCAATCAATTCCAATTTTGCAAGATCTTTTTTTTTCCGGCAAGAAGTTGAAATTGACTGATTGAACCTTTTTTTTTTTTTTTTGCACACGGCGGCGGAGGCCTAAAGCGAAAAGGTTTTATAAAACTCAGCTAAAGGCCTAGGACTGGGGCGACAGCACGCGTGCCCACAGAGAGGGCTCTGAGTGCCGCCTCTGGCACCCATGCCATAGGTTTGCCACCACTGGGCTATCATCTGTAGTATGACTCACTAGAGTATCAAGGCACTATCAAATGATATGACCATGTAGAAATGGGGACAATTGATATACTTCCCATTGCTTCCTCTACATTTTTCTTTTGTGCCCCTTACAATATCAAATTCCCCCCCCTGCTTTCATGAGTGGTTCTATCCCAGGTCTCTATCTCATGCATATTGCTACCACATCTATTTCTTCTAGGCTTCTTCCTCTTCATTAATGATTTGTTGCCAGTCTCATGCAGCACCACAGATGAGTATCTGAGAAGATTCTGATCCAGGACTTTCTGGTATCATCAAAGCTATTCTAGCCCTGTTCCTATTTGGTAGGAGGAACACAAGAAACAATCTCATATTGAGTCAAAGGTGTGGCCCACATAGCTCAAATGGGAACCGGAACTTGCTGTGATTTAAATCAGAATATTTTTGAATATGTGGCACTTAATCATGTCAACTCTATTTAATTAATTTTTAATTGATGTGAAATGCAGGCACCTGTATTTCAAACCTCAAAGGCCATATATAATAATCAAGTGATTGATAGCAATTTCATCCCTAACCTCCCAACAGTACCAGCTTATAGTGAACCCCAGCCTTCCATTTTGCTCTGGTTTTCCATGGTTTCCATTTAGAAAAAAGAAATTATAATAGTTTTCTAGCTGAACAAAATAAATCCCACATTCCTTAATCCTCCCCTTCTGTTCCTTTCCCATTTGAAATACCTTATAGAAGCAACCCCAACAATTATTGCGAAGCAAACTAATGAAAAACTTGATAGCAACTTATAGTTGGTGTTTGCAGTTATATCATAAGAGCTGCTTGGCTTACTAACTTGGTATTTTCCAGGAGACAGAAAATGGTGGAGGTAACCAGCAAGCCAGCCACAACCTTCATAAACATATTGCCATGTGTATTCTTTCAGTACCATTTGTTACAAATTAGGAGTGGGAAGTAAACTTCCCAGGCAGACTTCTAGAGAAGTTTCCTCATAAAGAGGAGTATGATAGATTGAAATGGGATGAATAATAGAATAACAGAGTTGGAAGGGACCCTGGAGATCTTCTAGTCCAATCCCCCTGCTCAGGCAGGAGACCCTATACCATTCCAGACAAATGGTTGTCCAATCTCTTCTTTAAAACTTCCAGTGTTGGAGCCCCCACAACTTCTGAAAGCAACCTGATTAATTGTTCTCACTGTCAGGAAATTTATCTTTAGTTCCAGGTTGGTTCTCTCCTTGATTAGTTTGCATCCACTGCTTCTTGTCCTGCCTTCAGGCGCTTTGGAGAACAGGTCAACCCCATATTGGAACACTGCTATCATGTCACTCCTACTCCTTCTTTTCATTAAACTGGACATGCCCAATTCCTGTAACCATTCTTCACGTTTTAGCCTTCAGTTCCCTAACATCTTTGTTGCAGTTCTCTGTACTCTTTCTAGAGTTTAGAGGGATGAACCATCAAGAACATCCTCCTGTCTGTCTCTTTGGTTATTTTCTTAGGTCTTCTAAAAAGATTTCTCTCTCTAGTTCAGTTCTGGGAAAAATAGCCAGATGCTTTGCAACATCTTACCCAAAGCAGGAAGAACTTTATAAACCTTGTTCCAGTCCAGGAAAAAAAGGATACGAGTTCCTTGGTGTTCTCTGAGGTTGGCTGTTTTCTTGCCAATGTTTCATTACTCAAACTACATAACATCAACAGTGCTAGTCTTGATGATACTAGTACTGATGATATTACCTAGTTTGGGTAATGAAACATCTGCAAGAAAACAAGCTCAGAGAGCACCAAGGACCTCTCATTTCATGTTCTTCATTGAAAATAAGGATACCGTAGCTATGCAAACATGCAATTCCATAAGCTGGGAATGTGGTCATGAAAAATTGCCATTAAACCAGTGTAAAGCAATTGTTATATGTTAAAATGAATTTACTGGGAAAAGAGGAATGCAGGCAGAAATGAGGGCAGGAATCATCCATATATAATCTAAATCAAATCACACTCAGTCTAGTTTCTTCTGATCTGTTAATTATGACCCTGGGTTCCAGCACATGTTCACAGTTCACTACAAAGGTAACTTTTGGAGAGATCACCTTGACTGCCAGGTTAAATGTATTTAGGCAAAACCCTTTTTATTCCTTTTACTTTTTTTCAGCCTACCTCTCAGTATTGCATAACTATGGAAGAAATAAAAAGTCAACCTTATTAAAGAGGCAGAATGTTGCTTTGTCCAACAAAGTATT